TAAAAATTGTGGTGTGATTGTTGGGATTGTTCTCTTCTGAAAGAATTCATAAGATCACAGCTTTGTTTCTTCCATCTTTGATTATTTCATTCAAGGAGGGTGGTTTTTTGTTTGCTTCTCAGATGAACCTAGTTAACTTTTTGTTGTTGTGTTTGTCAGTTAATTGTTTTTTCCTTTTGCATTGACATTAGATTGTAAACGAGATAGAGTTTTTGTAATAGTTTGAGGTATATACCTCCTGTACTTTCATAGAATAAATTATTTTGCCATTCAAAAAAAAATAATAATAACAATTATTGCGGCACTCCTTTCCTTGACTTCTTATTGTTTCTTGGTTTGCATGAATGTTAGGGAAAACATATAAATAAAGATTTGGTATTTTTCGAGAAGAGAAAAAAAGAGAGATGAGAAGGAAATGATTGAAATGTTTCAACATTCAATCATATAAAATTATATTTATTCACTAAAAGATTGCAATATATATATCTTGAAATAAATCAATCAACAGGTAACAACTGCTTATACCAAACGGTGGCAATGTGCAAACCCAAGAATTTCAAGTGAAAAAACGATTGAATATATGTACAAATAAATTGTTTAATTTGGTTCCAACAAAATTGTTTAATTCAACTTCAAAGTTAAAATTTTGCTTTCTTCCTTAGCAGCAACATTTTAAAGCGAGGTCCTGAGGAATTTGTTAATTTAGGTGTTGGGTTAGCCCTATCCCTCTATATGGAGTAACGGTCAGTTGAATTAAACCCACATATATATTTTTTTTTTTTTGACAAGAACAATGGTTAATAGGTTAGTTTAATTAATTGTTAGTAATTGGAGATTTGATCTTCAGATCTGATAAACATTCCACCTCCCTCAATGAGGTACGCGGTCCATCGAATCGCTTGGTAAAGTTCAATTAAACCCACATATTAAGCCCACTTTAAGTCATGTTTTTACAGCCCATTATTAGTCACATAAAGAATTGGGTGATCTGATTTGGGATGATGCAGAGTGGAGAGCACGTGAGGCGAGCAGGCAGAGAGGGAAAGAAAGCATGAGAGAACTATGAAATTTTGGAACTGTACACAGTTTAGATATTCTGTTTGATTTACAAAAGTTCATTAAGTTGAAATTTTGTCTAAGTGTTCATAACACTTCAATC